CCCAAAAAAAAAACCCCTCAATCCAAACCCAAAAATCACAATAATCGTCAAATATTCACAAAAAAAGTCCAAGAACCCAATCATAATCACATGGCAGCCCTAGCCCCCGGAATTCTGCTGAAGCTCCTCGACGGCCTAAGCACGGGGTTAAAGCCAACGAGCGAGCACAGAAGCTCCCTCCTCCAGGTCACCGACATCGTCCCCGCCGACCTCGACGAGAAAAGCCTCGTCCCCAAACAAGGCTTCTACATCAAGCTCTCCGACTCCTCCCACTCCATATACGTCAGCCTCCCTTTCGACCAAGACGATCTCGTGATGAGCGACAAGATGCAGCTGGGCCAGTTCATATACGTCGACAGGCTCGAACCCGGCTCCCCCGTACCCATCCTCAAGGGCGCCAAGCCCTTGCCCGGACGCCACCCCTTGATCGGGACTCCCGAGCCGCTCATGGGTCTGCGTGCCAGGGGCCAAAAGCCCGATAAGAATCCCAATAGTAGTAAGAGGTGTTCTTGGGGCTTCGGGCCCAATGGTTGTGAGAATAGTTCAAGTGTAATTGGGTCGCCTAGGGTTTTGAAGCCCGTGCCCTTGGATTTCGACCAGTGTGCCACGCCAGTGATTAGAGGGAAAGGGGCGATGAGGGATGGGAGTGCAGTTCGGTGCTCGGTTGGTGGGGGGGTTTTGGCGAAGATGGCTGAGGTCTCGCCTTTGGTTCGGAGAAGTTGTGTGGTGAGTAATAAGTTTGGTAGGAGCAAAAGCGTGGTTTCTGATAGAGAGCAGAGGATCTTGAAAACTCCCATCAACAACACAGCTGTAGGTACATTCTTTGCTGTGTGCAGTTTTTTGTGTGTGTGAATGGAAGTTGTTTGTTACTTTTCTGTCATTTGTTTTATTTATTTGGTTTGGTTTTGGTTTGCAGGAGAAGAAGAGTTCGACTCCACCTCCGAGGTTGATGAATGTGAACTCGGCAGCATCTCCGACTATCGAATCATCGCAACAATCTCAACATGGCGGTGATGTGAATTCTTCCAACAGTTATACAAGCCTGCACATGAATTTGCCTGGAAAACTTAGTGTTCTTGGAAAGGTTGAGTGTGTGACTTTAATGAACCAAAATTGTATATAAAAAAACAGAACAAATATTGAAATACAAATTTTTCATTTTGATGCATTTTCCAGGAAGCTATTGAACAACGAGAAACTGCGCAGAAAATTGCCCTTCAAGCATTGAGAGATGCCTCGGCCACCGAGAATCTTTGTCGATCTCTCAAGTAAAATATCCTTTTGCTAAAAAAACATTTCTTTTCTTCAATCTTGTGTGGCTGTTTATTTCTTGTATCTAAGATTTTTTTATGTCTTGTAGGATATTCTCAAACTTGACAAAATCAGCCAATCTTGATGCCCCAGCTGCTTGTTTCGATCAATTTCTCGAGTTCCATAACCAAATCTCGCAGGTAGTAGCAGAAATGGTATCCCTTCAAGCAGCAACTTCTGCTACCAACACTTGTAAAATATCAAAAGCAGAAGAAGGCTCTGTTTTAAATGAGTTAGTCCCTAATTCAATGGACAATAGATCAAAGTTGGAATCAAATGCGTCCAAAAGAAGGGCCGCCCTCAACAAATCCATAGCGGCTTTTCCTGAAAGAGCCGAGCAAAAGACAGTTCTTGGTAAGCACTTGAGATCTTCAACTCCGAGCCAAAAGGCCGTCAATTTGGAGAAGGCTGCGAACGAGAATAATTATGAAAACAAAAGTGTGGCCAGTTCTTGTAGTTTGTCGAGCACCATCAAACTGGGAAAGGAAATTAAAAACGAGGCCGGCAATTGGTTCATGGACTTTTTAGAGAAAACTTTGGGAAAAGGGACAAGGAAAGGATCTGATGCAAGAAAAGTACCTCAATCGCTTATCTTGAAGGTGATGAATTGGGTGGAAGTTGAGCAAAATGATTCAAATAAGAGGCCCGTGCATCCTCGTGCTGCAGTTATAGCCCGCAAACTGAGGATTAAGGCGAAAAACCCATGAGGTGTGTGTGGTGGTTTGTCTTGTTGCATTTAAGAAGCATATTGTTGTGTTCGAGGATCGAAAAGAAAATCGTTTGGTTTGGTGTAGTGAAAATGTTTGGATTCATTTCTTGTTTTGTGTTGGTGTGATTAGAGATCTTAAACCTTACTATGTAAACATATTATATCTGGCTTACCTACCTATCCTTGTATTGTGTTGATAGTAATGTGTTTTATATTAGTAATTTTAGCAGCAATCAGATTATAAAAGCCTTATCACATTTATTAGGAGCAATCACATTCTGGTGTAAATTTTTGGAAACTCTTCTATGATGTAGAATCTGATCACCCCTTGAAAACGATACCAAGCCATATATGACAATTCTAAACTTGCATCACACATTTTTCAAGAGTTATTCTTGTGGAGATGCATACAGTTCCATCCATTATGATCAGAGATGCATTCAAACATAATAACATTGCCCTGATCCATAACCTTAAAATAAGAAATTTCAGTATAATCACCACTAAAAATAACGCCCCATCATCATCAGCCAGCAAAAAATATTCACAACCAGAAAATTAATCCAGCAATACATCAGCAGCATAAAAATGGCTTATTAGCTCAAAAACCATAAAGACATGATACTCCATCAATTTTCAGACTGTGGCCAGACACTAATTTTTTCCTTCTCATACTTAACATACAATCCGGAGACAGCGGCCACGAAATACACCTGAATGAAGACGATAGCTGGGGAGTGATAGTTAATCACACCCCGACCCGTAGCCAGCTCCACTAAAAACAAGGCGGATAACCCTAGAATGGCGATCCGCCCATTGACCCGTTCCGAATACGGGCTGAACCCGAACTCCACCTTCAACCCGTCCGAAGCCGGCTCCTTCAAGGCCACGGGAGGGAGAAACACGCTCGAACCGGAACTTGACCCGGATTTCTTCCCCTTCCTGGCCTTCCGGATCTCGGCTTTCTTGCCCGTCCCGCTGCGATAACGGAAGCGGACCTGGGACAGGCGGTTCTCGAAGTCCTCGTCCTTGTCGGCGGGAGGGGCCTCCGGCGTGGTTGACGCGGCGGAGGTGTCATCCTCCGGGATGGAGCGAGGCGGCGCGGGGAGTTTCGACGGAGGGGTCGTCCTTGCTGATGACGGGAAGGCGGGGTTTGGTTTGGTGAGTTGCAGAGTTGAAGGTAGTAGAGTCGCCATTGTTTGCTGTAGCTCAAGTTCGATTTTTCCTCTTTATTTTGGCTTTATTTTCTCCTATTATTTTCCGCCTTAACTTCTTTTTTGTGAGGTTGAGTGGACAGAATGGATTTGCAAAATTACAAGGAGGTCCTAAAGTATGGTCTTTTTCCATCACTGCCTACAGTTTTTGGAAACTGAATATGACTAGTTGGCTAACACTTATCCCTCGAGATTGGACAGGTTGCACGCCGCCACATATTCACATAGCCACTTCATTGTCTCTCTAGTCTCCTCACCCTCGAGCTATTGTTTGGCTGGACTCGACTTACCTTGGGTCAAGCTGAACATTGATGGTTCATTTGAAAGATATACTATAGTTGCCAGAGAAGGAGGTCCTGGTTCGGGTTCACAACGAAGAACCCATCAACGCAATAAACACACCTCTTCAGGCCTCCTCGAGCTATGGCGTCGAGATTCATGCACTTCAGATTGTTGAAACCTCTACACACATTAAATTTCATAGATGTACAATATTTGCGCTTTTTATTTACATAAGATGTAAGTTCATAAAATTTGCAGAAGCCAATAGTAGAAATAAACTTTCAGGAGAGCATTCCACTCTACCTCAGAACTCTTTCATTAAAAAGGTGTTTGGCCAATAAGTACAACTAGGTATTACAAGAGAAGACTGTCTCTTGGTAACATATTTTGTACTCCACCTACTCAATTACTCTTCTAGCCATGACGTAGACTTACGACTACAACGATTGATTCCTCCAACAAATGAACGATGCTCGTCCTAAGCACCGATCATGAATGACATAAAATGTGTTTTAAAACCTAGTTGAAGTAACACTAGAACTTACAAATAAAAACAAACTAAACTCACAAGTACACTTATTTCGTGTTCAACACTTGTATCGACACTCTCGTTCCCTTTAACTAGTGAAGAAATTGTCCTATATACAAAATTTCCTTAAAAGGCAGGTAAGTGCAAAATGTAAATGCTAAACTTCCAAATCTTCAATCTTTCATTGGAAGGTGAGTCTTCTTAACTTAGGCAAGTCAAGCACTCGTCCAGGTTCACTGAAAGGCAGTCCACTCATCATTCAATCAGAAATCATTCTTTCTCCTCACCATATGAGACGCCACCTTTCCTACAAAAATAGATCCATTAGTTAAGTTCAAATAATTGTTAAGAATATAATTATACAGTTTTGTTATGAAGCTAACAGTTGGCTCTATAGTGGAGCCAACCTTCTACATACAACCAGTAAACCATACCATATTAGGTAATTCAATAAAAGTCCTTAAGGTAGTCGAGCACCCAACTACCGTCGGCCACCACGCACCACCGCGACGCGAGTCAGAGCCACCGACAACCCAACCTGATCCCGTCGCGATCTGCGCGTTCCCAACACCTCATGCCGAGACCTGCGCGTTCCTAGCGACCCGTTCGTGGCAAGACCTGTTGCAACACTGCGACCCGTTCCCGATGTCTAGGGTGCTCTGTCAGCATTCCTCCTGAGTATATTCCTTGGTGGATTCGTTCGGCTAGTTAGCCCCTCAAGTCTCTCACTGTAAATTTACCTTTTGAGGTATAAAGTTTATCATTTCAATAAAAAAATAGCAGATTGTATAACTATTTGAAATCCTATGTTACACGTTATTATATATGAATCTTTTCTTCTCACGACGCTCCTATATTGAACTTTATAAAATTAGCACTTCGGGCTAAAAAAAACCAATCAAATAACTTATTTATCAAGCAAGAAAATTGGTGGATTAAACAGGTCAAACTTCTAATCAAATTTAGTCTGCTAATTTTACACAAATCCGCTAACATCTATGTAAGATCTTTATTTAAGTAAATGCATAAGTTTTAAATTTTTGTTCATATATATTTTTTTTTTTTATGTTTATACTTAATCTTCTTATTTATGGTATATTTATAAAATATACCATATATTTATAAGATAATATATTGTTCTATTTTTATTTTTTAATATTGTTTGATTAATAAATTTAAATTTTAATTATAATACATTGAATTAATTTTAAATTTATATAGTGATATGAATGTCAAATCAAAGATTGTTGAAATATAGTTAATTTGATTTATTTTATCTAAAAAAAGAATATAGATAAAAAAAATTACTTTAAAGTATAATAAAAAATAAATTTATGGTATTTAATAAATAAGATAAAACATCTCACTTGGTTAATTCATTTAATAGACCTTGCTAATCATTTGTATTATATTCCTTGTGTAAAATTGGTTAATAAAAATATGGTTTAATGTAGGTTTACTTTTGAAATATGATTGAGTAATTAATTAATGGGTTCTTGGGCTTAACCTCATTAAATCATTTGTAATCTCCACCTCGCATTTAATTTGTGGTTTTGGTTGCATCACAGATTATCTTTTTATGTTAAATCAGTGTATGAACCCGACCCACCTCTCACGCGGCTTCTCGAAATAATTGAAAATAAAGGGCAAACAAACAACAGTTCTCTATCATTTTGTGACAGCATCTGTACGAGGGTTTTGATTTCTTTATTTTATTTGCTTTGCCTAATAGAAAACCCACACATATAAAGTTTAAAATATGGATTTACCTATAAATTCCAAAGAGAAGACACATATAATCGATTGGAGGATTATTATTATTATTATTCAATCTTTGAGGTTATTCCATACCAAAGACATAAATCAAGATATATGACATCAAGATTATTGTAAAGTTCTAAGTTTCTCTTAATGATGTGGAGTTCATTTATTTTCAATATGCTACTTTTCATTACAAACCAACTTAAAAACACATGCAAAGTCTTGGGACTCAGGTCGGATTTTAGACTCTCAGAAAACTATTCAGTTCGGCTGATAGTAATAATGAGAGATTAATGTATTCAAACCAAGTAATAACCTATATTTAATACCTTTCCTAAGTTTTCTAGATTTCCAAAATCCCTTCAAATCAATGCATTTCCTCCAGATAATCACCCAATAACCTTTCCAAGTTGGAAAATATTTCTTCAATTATATTTCTCCTTTAGATCACTACTGAGGTCAATTTTCCCAGCGGACATCATTAGAACATTACAGGACTCTAATCCGAACTGAACTTCAATTTCCCAATTACTTGTTTAAGCTCATATCGGTTCATTCCAAGCTCCAATCGTTTACCGAGTACCTAGGCCAAGCTGCAAATTTGAGACTCGATCTATACATAATTCTTATTATACGAACTCCTAAACCGATTTGAGAATATATGATGAAGATCGTGTATCTCGATACTCGATTTTCCCTAAAAAGATACGAATACCACCTCTTTCTCAATGATAGGTTGCGTCAAAGGATGCTAAACACCTCCTCCTCGGTGATAAGAGAGACGGTTCGGACGTGAATCCTTGTCAAACTTAAACTTATGCCTAACTATATGGTGAAACGCCCTTTTCGACACAAAGATTTTGTGCTAAAACTCGAATTAATTCTAACACAAGAGATTGGTAACCAGAGGTCGGTTTTTCCATTAATACAAGTACAAGATATCATAAAAAAGATGAGAAGATAGGCTTATTTATAAAAGAAAAATAATAGCCTATGGGAAATAAAGAACTAATCCTATGAGGAATCAAATTCTAACCCTAAAAAAAATAATAAATCTAAAATCCTAAGACTTGCTGAATAACTAATTAGGCACATGCCAATTAATTAGATATATGTTGAATAACCAAAATGCCTAAATAATCTAGGAAAATCAATTAAATTCCTAATTAACTAATTAATTAAACTAATTAATCTAAATATTAATTAATTTAATTTAATAAGTATCTTCTAGAATATTTCAGCCGTCTTCAAATCTTCTAGAAGCTTCTCGTCCCTTGCTCCTCAAATCACGCCGACCATCCAAGTAGCTCGTGTGTGTTGTCTCGTCCACGGGCGCATCGTTTCGACTATTCGCGCGGCCTCACCCGATCGCATCTGCCCTCGACTCTCGGAGTGCTCGGGGCTTGAAACCTCCATCTTCATCATTCCCGCCTCCTTTGAATATGTCCTTGTCCTGAAGGACTAGTCC